AATAATTTTGAAGGTAGTTCGAATATTAATGCTGCAACGTGTCCAGTTTTATCAATAATTTTTACATCCATTTTGCACATGTTCATTTTCAAGTTCATATTTTTAGAATTAGTGAGAATGGATGTAATACTTAATTTTGTGTATGTCTGTGTGTTTTTTTTTTCATTATTTATTTATTGAATTGAGGGCACACTTGATAATAATTAGATAATGTTCAATCCATCCGACTCAGGTCAACCATCTGACTCCAACCTTATACCCTCTTTTCCCACTCCTTTTTCAAGATCAACGTATTGAATTGAACATTATTAATTATTATAGCGATTTTGTGGTGACATAATTAGTGATTTTTTTTATTGAATTGAACATTATCTAATTATTATAGCGATTTTGTGGTGACATAATAAAAAATATATTTGTGTTGATTTTGTGTGTTCAACCATTTCATAATTAACCTTGAAACACGCAACACTATCTAAATTAGAAAGTTTCTTAATTAATAACATCTCAATAATCATTTTTTGCACAAAATTATAAATGATAGATACCGAGTATAAAAATCGGGTCAAACCACCTAACAACAAATCAAGACGTGACTAATCGACGATCAATTTTTTTCTTCCTAAACTAAATTATATTACCTAAACATCCTTCCATAACCCCAAAATAAATACCCATTTATTTCCCTACTAATTCACCATAATAGTCATTATTTCCCATTAAAACCCACTAGTCCACTACCACCAATTAAACCACCTATTTATCACCTGCTATTATCATAACCCCCAACTAACTACCCATAAACTCCCATTAAAACCCAATTAATTGTAAGGAGCCTACACTACCCATTTTTTTTTTTTTTTCCTACACTACCCATTCTAGCTACCTATAAAAGCCAAAGTGAGGAACAAGAGCAAGGGGGCATCTGGTTCATCTTCACAGGAGACCTCCAAACATTTGAGAGAAAGAGAGATAGCTACATTCTTACAAAAATACATGTACAAACCATCCACAAAATAGTGAATTTCTGGCTTGATACCGCACAAAAAGGCCCGTGATTTTTCCTTTCGATTTTCTTGTCAAAATTGTTGTGTCTATTCTTTTTTTTTTTTTTCTTCCCTTGTATTACTTCTATTTTATTTACTCAATCCCAGTTGTGTTGGACCCCCAATAGACCATCCGAGAGTCTGAAAACCAACAATGGATATTAGCAATAATTTAATCAAGAGTATTAGATCATTTTTCTAACACATTCATTTCTTAATATTCTGTTCATCATATTCGATCCAATTTTATTTTTTGTTTTTATAATACTTTGTTAAAATTGCTTTCACATTAAGTTGTAACTTTTAGCTGATTGTATGTAAAAAGACATATAAAGACATAAATATATTGTGTTAATTTATTATTATTTCAACAATGAGAGTGAAAAGAAAAAGAAAATTATTATTGTTGTTACGAAAAAAAATAAAAATAGTAAGGCAAATGAACAACAACAAGAGAGATAAATATTATGAATGATAATGGTAAAATGATCATTTCATAATTAATGACAATCAGTAACCAAAAAACTTTAATCTCTTAAACTTTTTTAGATTTTGACTTATTGACCCAATCCATTAATATAAGTCATTTTATCAAACACATAAATAGCTTATAGACTAGTCAAACCAGCGAAAATTAGCGTATTTACCAAACATGACCTATATTTTTTTATGAAAATAATATTATGAAATAGATTAAACTAAATAATAAAATTAAAAAAAATATGAAATTCAGGAACACTATAGGCTCTGTTTGGCAGAGCTTATAGCTTATTTTAAGCTACTAATAAGCTATAAGCTCTGTTTGATAATGTTCCCAAAATAAGCTCCTAGCTTAAAATAAGAGTTTATTTTGGAACGCTACCTTGGCTCTGTTTGGCAGAGCTTATTTAGGAGCTTATAGCTTATTTTAAGCTACTAATAAGCTATAAGCTCTGTTTGGTAATGTTCTCAAAATAAGCTCCTAACTTAAAATAAGAGCTTATTTTGGAACGCTACCTTAGGTAGCGTTTCAAAATAAGCTCCTAGCTTCCTAACTTTTTTTTTCATCTTTATCTTTATTATTTTAAAGAAATGACATAATTTACCCTTCCCAATTAAAACTCTTTTCTCTTCTCCTTTATCCGCAACTTTCACCGCAAATATTATTATTATTATTATTATTATTATTATTATTATTATTATTATTATTATTATTATTATTATTATTATTATTATTATTATTATTATTATTATTATTATGAGATTTGCAACAATATTGTTACTTCATTATGAGATGCTAGATTATGATTATACTAATAGTTTAATTTTAAAATGTTAATTTTTTTTTTAAAGACAAAATGTTAAATTTTAATATGTAAACAAACTAATTTAAATTTTATGAAGATGTCCTTTTTAGTCTTTTTACATTTATCAGCTTATCAAAAAGATAATTTTACCAAACACTTTCAATCATAACAGCTAGCTTAGCAGCTCTTCAGTTTTCAGCTCCAAGCTTATAACTTTTCAGCTTTCAGCTCCTAGCTTATAGCTTTTCAGCTAGGTTTGCCAAACAGAGCCAAGGTAGCGTTTAAAAATAAGCTCATAGCTTTCTAACTTTTTTTTTCCCCATCTTTATCCTTATTATTTTAAAGAAATAACATAACTTATACCCTTCCCAATTAAAACCATTTTCTCTTCTCTTTTATCTGCAACTTTCACCGCAAATATTATTATTATTATTATTGTTGTTATTATTATTATTATTATTATTATTATTATGAGATTTGCAATAATATTGCTACTTCATTATGAGATGCTAGATTATTGATTATGCTAATAGTTTTATATTAAAATATTAAATTTTGATATGTAAACAAACTAATTTAAATTTTATGAAGATGTCATTTTTAGTCTTTTTACATTTATTAGCTTACCAAAAAGCTAATTTTACCAAACACTTTCAATCATAGCAGCTAGCTTAACAGCTCTTCAGTTTTCAGCTCCGAGCTTATAGCTTTTCAGCTTTCAGCTCCGAGCTTATAGTTTTTCAGCTTTCAGCTCCAAACTTATAACTTTTCAGCTTTCAGCTCCTAACTTATAGCTTTTCAGCTATGTTTGCCAAACTGAGCCATAGTCATTTTCAACTAGCAGGTCATCATCAACTTCATTTATCATAGAATGGGGAAGAAGAATAGTTTCGGTATTATCATGAATCTTAGCGATTCATGCATTACCCTGATTTAATTTAAGGGGAAATAACATTTTTTCACCCAGAATTATATATTTATAACATTTTTTTCTCTTGAATTATTTAAGTGAATATTTTGTCCTCTGAAATGTTAAATGAACATATTTACTCTTAAAATAAATATTTCATTTATTTTTCTTTTTTAACAAATTATGACCACAATTTGGTTCAAACCAAACAAACACTATAGCAACCAAATCGAAATATTTCAATTACAATTTAGAATCGAAAGTCGATATTTAGAGTTTATTAAAATCGTGAACCAGAACGGCCGGTTCATGTTCTGAATTGAATAAAAATAAAATACATTTATTGTTGAATTTAGACTATTTTAAAATAAAAAATAAATTAAAATAAAGACAGTTCAAAATCACGAACCGCCGGTTCAGGATCCAGTTTTTCGATTTATAATATTAATAAATTGAAATTCAAAATTGAGTTCTGGAACTGAATTATAACCAAAATTTTTTAATTCGATTGCTATAGTGTTCGGTTCAGTTCGAAACAAACCGTGGTCATACTTATGTATATACAATATCAGGAGGGAAATCGTAACTTCTAAAATAATTGAGTGGGTTAACGTGTTTACTTGAATTATTCAGGAGAAAAAATGATATATGTATATAACTTATGGAAAAAAAGTGTCATTTTCAGTTAACTTAATGCCAGCGACTGGTTCTGTATCCAACGTTGGAAGCCAACAGTCTTGAATTGTATGTACATATAGAGAGAGAGAACAAATTAAAGCGGGGCAAGAAGGAACCATGAGTCAATCCGTATCTCTCCTCCCTGAAACAATGGCGGCATCCGTCCCTATCGTAAGTTTGAAGCTCCTCATAGAAAAGAAGACACGAAAAGTTATTTTCGCCGAAGCCGAGAAGCCCTTCGTGGATTTCTTGTTCCACCTCATGTCGTTGCCGCTCGTGACCGTGATCAAACTCGTGAGGCAGAGCTCCATGGTCGGCTCCCTCGGAAATATCTACGGCAGCATAAAGAACATTAGCCAAACATACCTCCAACCCAACTTAAACAGAGATGTCCTTTTGAACCCACAAGTCTCTTTCAATGCGCCACTTCTCTTGGCCGCCGGTGACGCTTCCGAGGCCAAGACGTTTTACTTTTGTAATTGCCGCCACTCATCTGGTGGCTGCCGGTACATCTCCGACGACCCGAATGCTATTTGTCCTCAATCCAAGTCCAAGATTAGTAGAGAGGCGTCTTATGTTGCTCCGGTGAAGGCGGAATCTACTAGCAGGGATGAAAGTGATGGGGGGGTTTGTGAAGGGTGTTGTGACGTACTTGGTGACGGATGACTTGAAGGTGATGGCGCATTCCACCATTTCTACCCTTACCGTTCTGAATGATTTCAATATTAAGGACTTTGGATCCCTTGAGGTGAAAGATGTTCGTGTGGGTGTTGATGAGGTACTGGTCTCTCTCTTCTTGTTGTGATTAGGAAATTTAGCCGGGTTGTGCACGGATAAATCTTACCTTTGCTCTAAATTAGTTGGGTTGGCTATACTTAATTGATTGAAATGAGTAAATTAACTGTTGGTTGTTTATAAATTATAATTGACCCGACTCTATCTGAAAACCATGCATGCACCTTGCTATTCTAGCCAAGTTACATAGTAATTAGTATCATGAATTTCTTTATTTATTTTCGTGGTGTTTATACTTATAGCTAATTTATGTTAATTTTGTTATGTTGGTTGACAGGTATTCAGGAAGGTGTTGAAAGCTGCTCTGCATACTGACTCCGTTCTCACAACCGTATTCCTTGGGGAATAGGCTTAATTTACTGCAACTTGCCAACAACCTTTCTATGGCTTACTGGCTAGCTTTTGGGAACATGTTACTAGAGTGTTTAGTTAAAAGTACTCTAATGCGATCTCGTTGAATTTTATCTATGTTGTTATGGTTTGTAACAATGAATGGTGCATTTAAGCATTTTAATTAATTTTTTGATTTATGAAAAAGCTTTCATCTACTACCTAACTTATGCTATGAGTGAAATTCACATGGTGACCGCAACTTATAAAAAGATCACACTATAAGCATCTAAACAAAGAAGGAGGGTGCAATTATTAGTTCTACTCTCAACAAGAACAATTTATTGGCAACCTCAACAAGAACAGTTCATCGGAGAAGGCAGCCCGCCTTCTCAACGGAGAAGTTTTTTTTTTTTTTTTTTTTTTAAATTAGTAATTTGATAATTAAATAAAAATAAATAGTAAATATTAATGTTTTGACTATATTTAATGAGCTGGTGCAAATATCACTTTTGTATTTGCACCACTTATAAAACTAGTACACCTATTAAATAGATGATATAAATTGCAAATATGGTAGTGCAAATAGAATTTAACTTTTCAATTTGTGCATTAGAATTGGCTACATTTTATTTATCCTTTTCCACATAATAAATATAAATTATAAATATAGTCTCACTATTACTTTAATTTTATAATTAAAACAAAACACATTCTTCTCCTTCATGTCTAATAAGTTCATTAAATTCATTTAGTAATTTGTAATAGCGCTGCACAATCATTATAATATGAATCACGATCCACCTTATAAGGTACGTAGATCATTGACATAGGGTTCTAATACTATATTTTTTTTATACTAAATGTTCATTTTTAAATATACTATTTAAAAGTAAATTTTTAAATATACTATTTAAAAATAAATTTTAAATATACTATTTAAAAATAAATTTTTAAATATGTTAAAAATGAATTGTCAATATATTAAAAGGGGAGATGTGGGACCACAGGATGAGGGTGCTGTGGGGGTGTGGGATGCTAAGAGGAGGGAATCTTGCCTTTTGTGAGACATAATCATGAATATGTACTTGTGTGATCGAGTTCATTAAGCAATTAAACACGTATTACTGTCATCGAGCTGAGTATATAAGAGCAACATTAACAGAGGAGAATGTGGAATTTATTCACGAATTTTGATGTTTAATTGTTTACTTGACGGAGAGAGAGGCAAGAGAGATGGTGGAGTCTTTCTACAAGAGATGAGATATTTCTCTTCTTAAAGGGAAGAGAAATAAATGGAGAAAATGGACTGCTGCGCGCACGGCAAAGCCGGGCGGGCGCATGATATGCTACTTTTCCATTTTTATAAAAAAAAAAAAAAAAACAGTTTTATTTATTTATTATTATTTTTTTTTTCACATCACCTTTTCTAATCACAATTAAAAAAACCTCTCAAAAATTTACAAAAGAACTCCACTATTGTAATGCTGTAATATATATACTCCCATTACTGCGAATATATGTTGGGAAGCCAACAGGCAACAGTACGTCATGTACTGACACTCATCCAATAATTTGCCACTCCTCGTGGCCCCCGGCGACGCTTACGAGACCAATTCAAGAAGCTTTACATTTGTTCTGCAGGCTGCAACGAACAAATTATGAGACTTTTCTTGGCGTACGTAGTAGTCCATTAAATTGATTTAGTAAATTGTAATAGTTGGGGGACATGCAGATCAGACATCATCATGCAAGAAGCCGTGTAAATTTACTAATGTTGGGAAGCCAACAGTCATTTACTTACATGCAAATTAAAACCCTCTCGATCTCTCTATAAATATAGATGTACTCAGACAAATATGGCAATTCAAAAGAGCGAGTCCAAAAAAACTAATTAACTCTGATCAGTCCATCTTCATAGTTCATTCCCTTTGAACAATGGCGGCCCCTTCATCAACCGTGAGCCTGAAGCTCCTCGTTGACAAGCCGAAGCCGAAAAGGCCTTCGTAGATTTCTTATTCCACCTCATGTCGTTGCCGCTGGGTACAGTTATCAAACTAGTAAACCACAAGTCCATGACTGGCTCCCTCGGAAATCTCTACGGCAGCATTCAAACCATTAGCGACACATACCTCCAACCCAACATGGATAAGGCCGTCCTTCTCAACCCTAAAGTTGCCTTTCACTCTCCCTCTGTGCCGCTCCTAATGTCCCCCGCCCTCGCTTCTGAGACCAAGAAGTTTTACGTTTGTACTGGCGGCTGCAACGCTCATGGTAACCGCCAGAGATACATCTCCGAATATCCGGAATGTGTTTGTCCTACTTGTAACTCCAGAATTAGTACCGAGGCGATTTATGTTGCTCCGGTAAAAGCAGATAATGCTATTAAGGATGAAAATGGTGGGTTTGTGAAGGGTGTTGTGACGTACATGGTGATGGACGACTTGACTGTAATCCCCCACTCCTCCATTTCTACCATTACTGTTCTCAACAAGAACGATATCAAGGATTTCGGGGCGCTTGAGGTGAAGGATGTGCGTTTCGGATTTGATGAGGTATTCTAATGTTTTCCATGCATTTAGGTTTGAAGTTCACAAATTTATATGTATATGTATGTATGTGTATATATGCACTGTACCTTACAATTGTAATGAACGAATGAATTGAATAATGAAACAGGGATTGAAGGTGTTGAAGGCTGCTCTTCACACTGATTCTGTTCTCACCACTGTGTTCATTCGGAAGTAGGATAATCCGGCTTCAACATCTGCAGGAATTTTGTTGTGTTTTTTCAATTTATAGTATGAATATTTTTGAATCCTATCTATGTTGTTGTCATGTTTGTACAACAGTGTTTTCACTGTCTTGAATCCTATGTATGTTGTATTTTCACTTCCTGCATTTCAGCATTATGTCAACGATGTTTCTGTATTTTTACCCGTTTTCATGAAAAAATATTATTATTGTTGGTATTAGTATTGTCACATATGACTTTATTATTTTTTTATTATTATAAGGAAAGGGATACCCTACATATATACACACTATTGCCAAATTAAGGTTCGAACCTTACACCTCCCACTTAGGGGAGCAATCCGATACCAGTGGACTACAAGCCACTTGGTCATATGACTTTATTATTGAATTAATTACTACATATTTCTAAAAAAAAAAAAAAATTAGATTATGCTTGATGTAAATTAAAAGATATTGATGGTACCGTAGTCCTTCCTAATAATTATATTATAGTGACCTATCGTATATATATGTTATATATTGTCAATCACTCATTCTTGGGGAAATAAAATAATGTCGTTCTGCTCACGAATTGCTCCAATCTCCAGACTTATTTGACAACAACCAACATCACGTTGCAGTCTCATCTTCGATACACCATCGACGACTGCCGTTGCACTGTGGTTACGTTTACTCAATCTTTAGTTAATTTTGTTCCTAAGATCAATTAATTTAATTGCTAATACATTAGCTTCATCAACTTTTGCTTAGACTAATTCATTGTACTAGGATTCTATTCCTCCTGACTCTATTTTGGTCTATCTTTAATAATGTGGTTCTACATTAAAGAAAATATTGTTAACCAGTTTTTTATAGTTTTCCTTCCATAATTATAGTGTCACTAACAATTTTAATCCACGACTTTTAAAACTTCTAGAATTGGTCAACAACTATTATTTTCTTAGCAAATTTGATCCTTCCGGCGAACTCTCAGATAATTTTTCATTTACCTAAACTAATGACCTAAATAATAATAATAATAATAATAATAATAATAAATGATAAACATAATCTACTCAGATTACGCACACAGTACACTTCACCCTCATTCTCCTTCTTTTACCTATTTAAACTATATTTGTGTCTATATGTGTAGTTTATATGTGTGTGAGTTCGAATGGTGCTTTTGTGATGTTAGCAGTACAATATTCGTACTGTGCTTTTGTGATTTTAGTAGTGTTGGTATTGTGCTTTTATGCATTGTGTTTATATAAAGTATATTCTGAAGTATTTATGCATAAGTCTGGATTTCATATAAAGTGTTCCATTATTTTAATTAATTTATTATGCAATGTGTTTAAATTGAATTGTACTGCAGACTGCAATACTAATGTTGTTATGTGGGGACCATAAGACCCCTAATATAATGTTTCCTTTTATCATGTGGCATGCACTTTCATAATTGAGCATAGATTTTGTTTTAAGCACCTTCATGGGAATATGAAGGTTGCAGACTTTCATGGAAAGACATTGATGGATGCACTATGGGATTGTGCCAGAGCAACAACTGTGAATTCATACACCACTAGAATTAAAAAATTAAGACAGTTAGATGAGGATGCATATATTTGGCTATCTGATAAGAATTCAACAGAATGGAGTAGGTTTCATTCCACAACTGTTTGTCATTTTGATATGTTGGTTAACAATATATGTGAGAGTTATAATGCTATCATTGTTGATGCACATAAACAACCAATCATTTCATGCCTTGAAGCAATAAGAAAGCAGCTAATGACGAAGTTATTTTACGGTAGGGAAAAAGGGAGTCAGTGGACTCACAGTATCTGTCCTAGGATCTTGGAGAAAGTTAAGGTTATTGAAAAAATAGCAGCTGGTTATACATGATATCAATGTTTAATGGGTTTTGACGGCAAAGTATGTTGTGGAACCATGTCCAACTTGCAATGTGGACACGGTTCCAAAACTGTTCATAATTATAAATATATAGTTCAGAAATTATAAACATATAGTTCTATAATTATGGACATAGAGTTGTGAATATAATTATGAACATATAGTTCTGTAATTATGAATATAAAGATTCAATAATTGTGAATATGAAGTTCAAAAATTATGAATATATAGCTTTATAATTATGAACATAGAACCGTATCCACCTTGCGGTTTCACAACATAACGATTGGGTTTTGACAATGTTTATAATTGAACTACCCATATTTAAGAAATGTTTGCTCTTTGGTGAATGGTTTGTTAGTAATAATGTTTAAAGACTACGCTTCGTTAACAATGTTAGTATACATTGAAAATGAAATTGCAAAATAATTTAGTATAAATTTAATTATAGATGATTTTTTTGACATTTAAGCTGAAAGACGTTCTAAATTTAGTAGATTTGTAATACAATGATGTATTTTAGCAAGCAATGGATTGAAGTTGTTGAAGACTGCGTTTTCTACCCAGTCAGTTTTGAGTACTGTCTTCCGCGACAACTTAGCTTAACTGGCGATATGATTTGGATACACAATCTCAAATTTAAAAGTTTAAGTCAACAGTTATTATTGTTCCTGTCTGGAGACTTTTGGCCTTCCAAGTTGGCGTAATGTTTAATTTGTTTAGCAAGCAATGGATTGTCTTAAATTGTATTGGCATCCCCTTACATTAGAAATAAAAATTGTATTATATTATTATTATTATTCTTCCAAAAGGCTGAACTCCAACCCTAAGGGCCCCTACACCCCGGCCCGACAGAGTATTTGGGAGGATGTAAATCATGGTGACTGAACTGAACATGAACCACAGAGGCTAGACCGATGCTCACTGTGCACAAGGAGCCCCCCTCACTTTGAGAGGTTGCTCCCACGATCCCTGGTCATTCTTCCAAAGTTTCACCTCTATGACCAGTTGAGCTACCCATGCGGGCATATTATTATTATTATTATTGCATATGTATGTGGATCGGAGTATTATTTACAGGCCGGAAGTTTAGAATTTTAATTCTGCTGGTGGTTTTAATTGGATTTTGAAACCTTTTGGTTATATGTTGTTACTGATGTGACTTGTTCAAATAAATCAAATTTTATTTCCAGCTGTTCCTGTTGATCTGAAGAGATACACAAATCATGATATACAAGCAATAATTTGGTTTAAAATTTTTGAGTACCTAAATTAAAATAATTAGCTGTGTTCCCCAACGTATACTTTGTGAAGTAATGTATCAATCTTGAAAATTTCACGTAATAATCTAATAATAACTTGAAAATTGTGTAAAATAAACCAAATAAAAGTTTTGAACTTTCGCGTTCTCTATTGTAATCTCACATTCCTTTAAACCAAATAAGGGGATTTGAAGTATGTGATATAATCTGAAGTAACATACACCAACTTAGAGCCGCATGCTATTTGGAAATTACGTCCCACATTTATGTAACATCATATGTAATTATGTAGTAGTTATGCTCAGCGGAGGACCCTTTGAATATTCAAAATCTAAGGGTAATGTATTAAGACTTTCATAGATGTACTTTCAAAACTTTTTAAAATGATTTTCATAAAATATTTTTTATATTAATAAAGCTTTGTCACAAATTGGTTGTCATATTTGTTGTTTGTACGCTTTCAGAGGAATTAAAGTAAATATTATGTGTTACTCAATTCTAAATCAATTTTGGAAATAAAAGCAATAAAAAAAAAAAAAAAAAAGCAAAACTCATAAGGATAAATTGATAAAAATAAAATGATGATGATGTTCAATTTTGGAGTGGACAACATTTTAAGACAAACTAAAAAGTGAATGAGACATGTAAAATGAGGGAGAGTATATTTTTGTGGTAGTGTAATTTTGTCCTTAATAGAACACCCTTTTCTGACTTTGTTTATTCAATTCAGTGGAATATTGTTCTTCATTGGCACATCATAGATGAAGAGTCATTTCCTATAGATCGAAGTGCCTACATATCCAAATTTGTGTAAAGGGGCTTATACAAATTAAAGATAGAGCGCTATACTGTTGAACAAAATGCCAAGAGTCATCAAAACAAATAGTTCATTTAGCTTAACCAGTATCGACCTCATCATCACCTATGTGAAAGCTAAGAGCTCAAATGGAAAAACCCTCGTCATATCTGCAAGATCAGAGTAGACATAACACAGTACTGACTAAGCTATGAAATTAAATATTTTGACGATTACATAAGTCCAATCTTAGGTATGCAATTTGTGTTTTACTTTTTAGTATCCTAAAACCATAATGGAGACAGTTCACTAATATCCTTAATAAGCACCATTTATATGTTAATAATATTGACAATTTGTTCACTAGTAGCACCATTTATATGTTTTGTTAAATTTGTTATATTGACAAAAATACATTTAGTGGAAGACAGCATTATTTCATGTCCCCAAACATGTCTAATTGACAATATGTATACCATATATAGGATAGGTTACTATAATTTATGAAAAGACTACCGTGTCAGCAATATCTTTCACATAAAGCATATCTTAAATTTGTTTTAAAAATATGTTACAATAAAACGAATTATAATTATAACACTAACAATAAATTTTCATGAAAACTGGCACAACACAAAAACATAGTGACTCAAGTGCAGAAATAAAACATGAAAAACATGACATAGGATTCAAGATAGACAAAATACGGTTCTACGTACAAATTAAACATGAGAACGACATACATAGATGGGATTCAAAAACATTAATACTATTAACTGACAAAACATAACGAGACACGCATTTCCTGCAGATGTTGAGGTCGAATTAGATTACTTCCGGATGAACACAGTGGTAAGAACAGAATCAGTGTGTAGAGCAGCCTTCAACACCTTCAATCCCTGGTTCATTATTCAATTCAGACTCTAATTAGAATTTAATAGTGCATATATACACAAAAATGTTTGAACTCCAAACCTAAAGGCCACTCATCAAGACTTTTACCCTAGAAAGCTTGCAAGAAAAGGTAAATGCTCCGGGTGTCCCTGGCCTCTCTAGCCCCCTAATGTATAACGGTAAATAAATGCATGAAAGTGGGTGGAAAGCAATATATAATACCTCATCAATTCCAAAACTCACATCCTTAACCTCAAGCGACCCGAAATCTTTAATACTGTTCTTGTTGAGAACAGTAATGGTAGAAATGGAGGAGTGCGGCATCACGGTCAAGTCATCCATCACCATATACGTCACAACACCCTTCACAAACCCACCATTTTCATCCTTAGTAGCATTATCCGCTTTTACCGGGGCAACATAATGCGCCTCGGTACTAATTCTGGAGTTACAAGTAGGACAAACACATTCCGGATATTCGGAGATGTATCTCTGGCGGTTACCATGAGCGTTGCAGCCGCCAGTACAAACGTAAAACTTCCTGGTCTCAGAAGCGAGGCCGGGGGACATTAGGAGCGGCACAGAGGGAGAGTGAAAGGCAACTTTAGGGTTCAGAAGGGCGGCCTTATCCATACTAGGTTGGAGGTATGTGTCGCCAATGTTTTGAATGCTGCCGTAGAGATTTCCGAGGGAGCCGACCATGGAGTTGCGGTTCACGAGTTTGATAACTGTCCCGAGCGGCAACGACATGAGGTGGAATAAGAAAACCACGAAGGGCTTGTCGGCTTCGGCGAAAAGGACTTTTCGTGTCTTCTTGTCAACGAGAAGCTTCAAACTCACGGTTGATGGAGTAGCGGCCGCCATGGTTCAAAGGGAATGAAAAGAGGTACAGTAATATTGTAATGAAGATCGATTGTACTGATTAGATTTAGTTTTCTTCGACTCGCTCTTGCCTTATCTGCCTGATGACTACATCTATATATAGAGATGAGAGTTTTAAATTGGGAGAAGAAGAGTTTTAAGTAAATGACTGTTGGCTTCCCAATGTTGGCATTAAGGGGATCGGATGGAGTAAACTCGATGGCATGCAGCAGTATTTAATGAATTTACACGGATTCATGCAATCATGCATGATGATGTCTGATTTGCATGTCTCCCAACTATATATTATCTCTATGACTTATATTTATTGGTCTTTCCATTACATTATTTATCTTTGCCTTTTTTCTTCACTATTTATCATAACTAGTATTTGCACCCGTGCGATGCACGAAGTGAATTTGTTAAGAATATAAGAATTTATATATAATTATTCAAATTAGAACATCAAATATTATATAGTGCACTTAAAGATATGATTTATCATTTATATATTTTAATGATATCATTTCTTGAATTTGTGCAAATAATTGTTCAAATTAATAGCTAATGTCTAGATGTATGCATGCGGTGCTATAACTTTAAAGATTTTATTTATCATTGTTTAGTATTTTCATAAATTAGGCAAATGTCATGGCATGTGATATCATCAAAGGAAATTGTTTCTTTGAAATTTGAAAGGCAATCTTGAATCAGAAGTTGTTAATGACATTTTAGGAATTAAAACCTTTATTCCTACATTCGTTCCACACATAATTTGAGCTTCCAACACATGATCAAACCTTATAACAATTAGCCTTGTACCATTACATAGTCCTAATGAGTGATCAATATTTCTCAATAATATGACAGGTGAGCCAATTTTTATAGTCAAAGCATCATTCAGGACTCCATAACAACGTAAAGCAATTAAGAACTCTGGGTGTGCAAAATCAGATAGCATGTCTCCAGTTGCATCATATTTACAACCCGAATCACAACTCAAATACATCTTACCCTTAGCAGTATTCTTATCATTCATATAATCGTTGATGCTATCTACCACATCCAGAGTTGGAGCCAATCGATTATGAAGATAGTCAAGATGAGTGTCACCACTACGTATTATTAATAAGGATGTGTTATCATCAATTGTAGCAATAAGATCATGAGTTTTAATCAACTTATAATATGATATGTATAATATATAGGAGCATAATAAATGTTGGGTATTGGTTTAGGCCCAATATTTTAATGCAATCCAATTTCATTCAGCCCAAACCAATACCCAACAACCCAGACGATTCACATTCTCATTCTCTCTCACTCTCGCCCCACTCACGATTCTCTCTATCTCGGTCCCCCAATCTGCCATCAACACTAAATCCTACAATTATTGTTTATGTTTTGCTTCTTAGATCAACTAAATGTTGTATTTCAGAGACATAATAGCAATGCGAAATCCGATTTAGTCTCTGAACATGAACCCTAGGTTTTGTACTTCATTGTTCGTAATTTCTGTGGATTAAAAGTTCAGTTCTGTCATTTTGGAGTACCGATCATCATCAGTTCATAAAATTAAAGTTTGACAATGATCGCACCGTCTGTCGAAAACCCCAACTGAGATAAGTTAACTTATTCCTTCAATTGCTTTCAGTTGATTTACTCTTAATTTAGTTATAGATTTGTCCAAATGTTTTTGTGTTCGTTAGATTAAGAAATTATTGTTGGTTTATTCGTGTATTTTAATTACGATTTTACTAAAAAATTTAGAGGAAATTTTTTAAAACTTTCTCTGAAGTTTTCCTGTATTTAGGTAAATATTTATGAAGGATTTAGGATTTGAAAATATTTATTATGCTCTCAGATAGTTTATGCTCATAATTAATATTATAATTCAACATGCAACTGAAAATAATTAGTTAAATTGAAGTCATTTATTTTATTACAGAGCAGGAATATTAACAAAACTATCATTCTAAGAGGCATTCAAGAACTGAATAAAAGAACACATGATCAGGTAATATTAACATTCAAATATGTTGTCATTTGTATGCTTCAACAACCTGCCTTCCATTGAGTTCCCGCATTCAACATTTGTTGTCATTTGTATGCTTCAAAAACCTGCCTTCCATTGAGAGTACTATAACTTCAATTTTTCTTTTAATTTATTTATTTATTTATTGTTGAAATGAATTTTAGAGATTGAAGTCATGCGGGGACTTGAAGTGCTTATCAATAGCCCAGAACAAACTTCAGAGTTTGAAAGGAATTGAAGGCTTCAGTAAACTAACTGTAAGAACACATTTATATCAAATTCCTGCATTTGAATTCCATTTTTAGTTTGGATGAAGCTATTTATAGACTGAAGGTCATTTTTTGCTTTGTTTTTATTTTTCACTTTTTTGTGACTTAGGTCAAAAAATTATGTTTTGGTACATATCATATCCAGCTTAGTATGAACTTCTCTCCTGTTGATTTTCTACTTGATGGTATAACTGGTTTTGGAATCAAGCAAAAACTGCCTGAGCCAACCTTTTTTAAAATAATACTCCCTCCAAATATAGCTCAAAGGTTTATAAGATGTTTCACTCTCAATCCAAATATTTTTCATCAAATCTACTCTAAATTAGATAAACACTGTCTTAACATGGACTTATATACTTCTACTTATTCCTCTGATTGAAAGCTGGACATTTGGTTCTTTGGCATAAGAAGTTTCATGCATTGAACCATGTATTGGTTTACCTCATATCTTGGTGCTATTGACTCTGTGCTTCTTTTGGTGTCTTGTAAATGCGTATTAAATGACATCTTTGCTATTCTTTACATCTGAAAGAGATAAAGAGTGAAAGCATTTGTGGCATTGACCTATACATTTTATATGTGAAGGACCATACTCTCAACTATCCCAGTATGATGTGAGACTCCCAATGGAATATGCTTCTTTTATTGGTCTACCATTCTTAATTCTTGAAACAAAAATATATTTTTACAAATGAATTTTCAGACATCTACACTTTTGGTTTCACATGCATCTAGGGCTAACAGTTCACTTCATCAGCTTGAGATAAATCCTGACCATGAAACTGTAGTTTAGACTTTAAATTAATAGTACAAAAGGTTCAATCATATTGACAATAGGGATTAGATTACCTGTTCAGAGTCTTCATCATCTTCCTCATCCTCTTCTATCATTTTAGAAATCAAGTCCTTGTCTTGGTGTTCCTTCAGGCTAGAACAGTAAGTCTCAACTAATAGTTCATCTCTTAACAGCCTCATCACAGTAAAAGCAGAGGTAGTACCCCTTGGTTGGTCTTTCTTAAATCCAACCTTGAATATCATAGACATGTCAATCAGTGTCTACAGTTCCGGGGGATATCAAAAGGAGACTTTAGAGTCTTTAAATATACAATATAAAAATCAGATGTGCAAATAAAACCAAATAAGAGACTTTAAAAATATTTCCATGGATGTAGTCTCCCTAAAAATACAGGAACATAGATGTTTCATTAAACACATAGTAGGAAAAAAAATAAGCAGGTTACATAAGAATCAGTTGCATCAGAAAAAAAAAACAGATTTACCCCAGCATCATGGAATAGAATTTCTAAACTCTTGCTTGTTTCACTACCTCTAACCTCCGGGACTTCATATATACCCTTACTCTTATTGCTCTCATAGTGTTATGAGGTCTTATTTCTTTTACAGATACATACTAAGAAGGCATGTTGAAAGGTATTCACAAATGATGCAGAGAATAGTTTCTATTTAATCTGGCCGTTCAGTTTCTCTAGCAAAGAAGGTTTATATAGAGTTTCAAGTCATTAATGTCTGTTATTGAAGAATGGAAAGACAACAATCTGTATTGGGAGTATGAAAACCATCATACTGTTTCAGCACTCTTGTCTTCATTATATTTAGCCTTTATTAAATTTAAATTTAAATTTAAATTAAATTCTGATTCTGATTTGTAATAATATAGGACATGATGGTATTTGAATTAGATTATTTTAGGTTAGTTTATCAATGTATGTTGCTTGGGAATAGAATAGGACATTTAATGAGCCGGCTATTACTTGCATTGGTATTACAATGTAATGAAACTCTATTCTGCAAACCAAAATTTAATTCGGCTAAGCCTCCTAGAAAGATGCAACCCAATGTAAACAGTATTAAATACGCAGCAATTATCTTCACTCTCAAAACGGCGTAGTTTTGTGTGGGCGGGAGAATTTTTTCAGAAGAAACTTAGTGCTTTATTATAATGATAGATTTAATTAATGGAGTTATTTGATTCGGATCGGACCCCGATCTATATAATCCATTAGGTTCAGTGGGCAGTGAAGAAGAATATAATAGTTTAATTTGGATATTATCATGAATCTTAGAGATCCATTATCCTGATTTAATGCGAGCGACTGATTCTGTATCCAACGTTGGAAGCCAACAGTCTTGAATTATAGTATGTACATATAAAGAGAGAGAGCAAATTAAAGTAAAGCAAGAAGAAACCATCAGTCTCCCTGAAACAATGGCGGCATCCGTCTCAACCGTGAGTTTGAAGCTTTTGATCAACCCAAATGCCAGAAAAGTGTTGTTCGCCGAAGCCGAAGCTTTTGATCAACCCAAATGCCAGAAAAGTGTTGTTCGCCGAAGCCGACAAATCATTCGTGGATTTCTTGTTCCACCTCCTGTCATTTCCACTGGGCTCCGTCATTAAGCTTGTAAGTGAGAACTCCATGGTCGGATCCCTCGGAAATCTCTACAGCAGTATCCGAAATCTCAGCGACACCTACCTCCAGCCCGATGCAAACAAAGACGTCCTTCTTAACCCGAAAGGGCCGCCAATTTTCTCTTCCGATGTTCCCCTCCTTCCCGGTGAGATTTCCGACACCAGGACGGTTTACGCCTGTACTAAAGGCTGCGTATACTACTCCGATGACGCGGAATCCATTTGTCCCGAGTGTGATATGGCCAACATAAAGTGCGTGATGAAGTATGTTGCTCCGGTAAAGACGACGACGACCGGGGGATCTTCTGGAGATGGAAGTAGTAGTGATGGGTTTGTGAAGGGAGTTGTGACTTATATGGTGATGGATGATTTGAAGGTGATGCCGCACTCCACTATTTCTACCATTAATGTTCTGAATCAGTATGATATTAAGGACGTCGGATCCCTCGAGGTCAAGGATGTTAATTTGGGTGTTGAAGAGGTATATATTCTTCCCAAATGATAATGATGTTTTCTTTTCTTGTTTTTGTTTTTTCGTGTATGGATTTGATGAGTAAATCCCATGACTATAGTTGGTAAAGCCTTAAATTCTAGCAGATAATACCCCATAGCTCAAACAAAAAATGTTAGGATTTGAACTTGTGACTTTATGGTTATAGGTAAAGTCTTATGACTCTAGATGACAAAAGACAAATTAAGAGTAGCCTATAATTATCATTTTATAATGATAATACAGACAAATAAATAATTTTAATCTTTAATTAGTTTGTGTTGTTTTTATTAATATTGGTTGACAGGGGTTGAAGGTGTTGAAGGCTGCTCTGCATACTAAATCCGTTCTCACAACTGTCTTCCTCCCATAATTGTCAACCCGATCCATTGCAACTTCCATGTTCTGGTTTGTACTATGCATGAATGGTGCATGTTATGTTATCCAGATATTATTAAATTATATGCTCGGTATTTTGTTTGGACTTGGTGTCTTATTTTGGTTCTTGGTTATCAATAAAGTTTTTTTATTGAGAATTGAACTATTTTTTTGATTTATGAGAAAACTCTTGCCAATTTTATGATTAGAGCATAACTGATTTGATAGTCAATCGACAAGTAGATACATAGTATTAATCTTGTAGATACATAGTAGATACATAGTATTAATCGACAAGTAAACATAACTGATTTGATAAATAAAAAATACAAATAAGTGGAAAAAATAAATAGATACATAGTATTAATCTTGTATATGTATAATTGTGCTCTCCCTTAGCTTCTTTGTTATTGATTATGGCCTAATGGCCATTTATTGTAGAGGACTAGTACAACATTTGGAAACACAATATATACTTATGGTAACCGGGTATATATGATAAAGTTGAATATTTGATGGGATGTAGATGTTATTTAGGAAATTTAAAGATATTTAGATAGTGTACGTGATTTAAGAAAAAAATACGGAGTAATATTTTTTATAGGTTGACTATATTTAACTTATGGAAGTAGTTTATATAGATTGACTATATTTAACGACTAGAATTAGGATTCTTGTATTTGAGTCATAGTATTATTTCCTATTCTAGTCTCTCTAGCTATAATTTTTTATTTTCAGTCAATTAGAATATAGATGTATTGATACTTTTACCTAATTTCCGTTACGTTTTAATTTGATGATGTAGAATATTATTAATGAAATAATTTCGTTCCATTTTTAATTTACATTTACTATTTTTAAAAATATGCATTCACTCCTTGATGATGTGAAATATTTTTTTTTCTATTTTTAATATTCCTTTACTTCTAAACAAAAAAGAAACAAAAAAAACTTTGGACTTCTCACTACTTGCTCACATTGATGGCAAGCAATTATGTTTGTAAACATTTTCAATAGCTCCTCTTTCCAAACATTTTCAATGTGAGATTAAAATGATTCCACATCATTCGTTATATTTTTTTCTAATTTTAATTTTATTTTGTATATCGTTTTGTTTGGATGATGATGATGATTATTGACAATTTTTAAAAATTGAGATTGAAAAATTCACCAAAATTTTAACAAATTCATCATTTTAACAATTTATCTTTAATCAAAACACCAAAAATATTATTTAATAACTTAGTAATTTGCTCTAAACTGCTAAAAACTAAAACAATACATACATTTTGGGTTATCATTCCCAACCCACTAATAATAAATAAAGAATAAATAAATAAATAAAAACTAAAATAAGAAGACAAAGCTAATGTTTCTTAAATAAGAACCTTTTAACTTCTCAATACTTGTAACATTGATGGACAAACAATTATGTTTGTACCTCTTATATAGAGGAGCTCAAGAGCTTATCTTTTCAAATACTAGTATTTGCACCCGTGCGATGCACGGTCATAAATGTAAGAAGTAATACGTAATGCATAACATTTAGAAGTAATAGTATGAACTGCTATTTTTATTACACATTATTAAAAACTTCTTTATATACGACATTAGTAGTCGTATTTTTGGATTTAAAATTTTCATCACAAATGAACATTTTTAATCCGCTTGGATTACTAACCCTTGACACCGCTACATACAGCTGTCCATGATTAAATACTGGTCTCTTCAGGAATAAACCGACGTTTGACAATGTTTGACCCTGGCTTTTGTTTATCGTCATGGCATATGACAACATCAGCGGAAATTGTTTTCTCTGAAACTTAAACGGCAATCTCGGATCTGACGGTGTTAAAGACATCCTTGGTATTAAAACCTTTGTACCAGCAGTTGTTCCAGTCAATATTTGCGCTTCCAAAACATGTGGAGCCAACTTTGAAATGATTATTCTTGTACCATTGCACAACCCCAATGAGTGATCAATATTTCTCAATAGCATAACTGGTGACCCAACTTTTAAAGTCAATGAGTGATTTGGCACTCCAGAACATCGTAATCCATTTAAAAACTCCGGTGTGTGTAGATCAGCAAGCATGTCAACATTCGAATCCGATTTGCACACCGAATCACAACTTAGATACGTCATTCCTTCTGCAGTATTAAAGTCATTCATGTATTCATTGATGTTATCTACCACATCCAAAGTTGGAGCCAGAATTGCACAATCTTTTAGACATTTGACGTCTCGAATCCCATTACGAAACCCATGGAATATGCTTTCAACAATCGTAGAAATAGGATCCTCCCCAGAGTTTAGTAAGAATTTTCCTGGAATGTTTATCTCACACTCACCATCCAACGAATCACCAATCGCTCCGTCACCTATATTAGCAATCCATCGTGCATATTCTTCAATTTCTTCAACTCCAGACTGTGATTGAAGTGCTCTAAGTCGCAGATTCTTGGTCAGCCTAAAGACTTTACAGTTTCTCCAAAGATATGATGAATTTATACTCGCACCAACTATATCTTGCCTGGTGCCCTTTGGAATTACTGGTAAAATTTGTCTGAAGTCTCCACCTAAGACCACAGTTTTCCCACCAAATGTCATCTCAAAACTTCTTGGATTTTGAACACGCAGTAAATCTCGCATAGTTCGGTCCAAAGCTTCAAAGCAAAATTTATGCATCATTGGTGCCTCATCCCAAATGATCAACCGGCTTTGCATTATCAATTGTGCTAACGGACTGCTTTGACTGATATTGCAAATAGAATCTTCATTAACAGCAATTGGTATTGCAAATCTTGAATGCGCTGTTCTACCCCCTGGTAGTAATAGAGAAGCTATGCCACTTGATGCTACATTCAAAACAATCTGACCCTTTGATCGCAAAGCGGAAGACAATGCTCTCCACAAGAACGTTTTCCCCGTACCACCATATCCGTAGACAAAAAACAATCCCCCCAACTCTTTCTCAACATCATCCAATACATTATCATATATTGCCTTTTGCTCTTCAGTGAGTTGTTCCATCAAACTCTCATTCTCTAACTTCATGGCGTTAATGTCATATGACAATTCCTCTTGTATTAACCTATTGGTTGCTCTGTCCAGCAGTTGTAAATTAGGAAATGGCATTGAAGGAAAGTCTTTCAAACTCTTGCCTATAGCTGTGAGCAGCACTTCTATCTCCGATAGTGCATAATTCTTTTTCTGGTCCTCAGATAAAATTAAATCTGTTGTAAAATTATCACAAAAATAGTATAAGTGTGTTTTTAAAAACCTATTGAATACCATGAAGAAAGACAGAAACAAAAATTGAATACCTCCAAGTCCCGTCTTGTGTCTAATATGGATTTGTGCATCTTCAGTCAAA